TTTCTAAAGTGTTTTTGAAAAATCACTTACTCTGCCTTTAATTGGAAGTGAGAATCTCAGTCTCCCAGTGTTTTTCTAAATAAACACTATATTGCAGGTTGGAAAAAGTGTTTAACTTCTCCAAAGATGACTTTGTGCCGAAAAAGGATGCTCAGATGGGTATGTTCTGACTTTTTACTTGTGTAAAATATATATATATATACCACTGTTCAAAGGTTTGAGGTCTGTAAGAATTCTTAATGCTTTTAAAGTCTCTTCTCCTCACCAAGGCTGCATTTATTTGATCAAATTTAAAACGATTTAAAACTGTTGTTTTCTATGTGTATCTATGTTAAACTGTAATTTATTTCTGTGATCAAAGCTGAATTTTCAGCATCATTACTCCAGTCTTCAGTGTCACATGATCTTCAGAAATCATTCTAATATGCTGATTTGCTGCTCAAGAAACATTTCTGATTATTATCAATGGTGAAAACAGTTGTGCTGCCCGATATTTTTGTGGAAACTGAGGCATTTTATTTTTCAGGGTTCTTTGATGAACAGAAAGTTCAAAAGAACAGCATTTGTTTGTAACATAATACATGTCTTTACTGTCACTTTTTATCAGTTTAACACATCCACAAAAATATTGTGCAGCACGACTGTTCATGTGGTGCTGCGTTTTCTGCAGAGCTCGTTCACATCAGCGGAGACCAGCGTCTGAAATCGGCGAAGGAGAGCACTAGAGAAAACCAATCCGCCATGCAGAGGGAGCTGGACACTCGTAGACTGAAGGCGTCCAGAAACACGGCCTCATCCGGTGAATCTGCCGCCCCGGTGCAGGTCAAACAGGAGCCCATGAGTGACTCTGAAGAGCCCATGGACACGTCAGGCCCGCTCACTAACGGCTCGCTCAACGGTTACCCCAACTCTACCTCTCCGGCCTCGGACCCTCATAACGGACACGCTCACGCCTTCACCCCGGAGCTCCAGGACTTTGTGCGGAGCACCTTCCGGAAGCGCTATGTTTTGTGCCTGAGTGAAGTGAAGAGGCTGTTTAACCTGCATCTGGCCAGTTTACCCACGGGGCACTCGGTGTACGGCCACGTGACGGACCGCATGCTGCAGGAGACCATCCTCCAGAGCCAGTGCAGACAGATCCTGGTGCCTGTAAGTACTGTGGTGGATGATGGGCAGTTTTAGTGCACCACATAGTGCTTTGTTATAAATCGATTTAAAATATGCATTTGGAAAACAAGTATAGATGCACTGATATTAATATTAATTATAAGCCCAATATAGATTGATTCAACAATTAAAAATATGCACTATAGTTTGTCAATATTTACATTTATTCATTTTAGCAGATCGAAAACTAAGCTACATCATTAACATCACAGTGATTTTAATGTGATTAATTTTACCATTATTTTATTACATAAATAATTTGGTGACACTTTAGTTTAGGGACCAATTCTCACTATTAACTCTTTCCCAGCCATTGACGAGAGATCTCGTCAATTAAGAGAAAATGTTTACCGGTCAAAGACGAGTTTTTACGGCAATCCGTGTATTTTGCTTGAAAATGCACTAGTTTGATAAAAATGCATTTTTTGTCCAAAATGTATTTCTGATTAAACTTATCTGCATTCAAGTGGTGATAAAACATGAGCACATGAAGATAGAATAAAATAGTTTTTTTGTTTGTTTAAAAGCAGAGGCTCGGTTCTTTGTTTTGATATACATGTTCATGTATTAATAGCAGAAAATATTCTGAGGGCTGTCAAATTTAGGTGAAAATCATCAAAATTGTGGAGAGAGTATCACAACGCATGCGCTGGCTTCTGGTTCATGTAAACAATGCATGCGCATGGCGCTGCTGCTTATGTTAACACGGACATGCGTCAGCACGCGCATGCCATATATGTGGCCAAAAGTTTTTTTGTATTTATAATTTCATTTTTTCAGATTGAATAATTTTAATTTTTGAAATGTATTGTTATATATGTCTTGCAATATTGGTCAGATATCTTAATATTATATTTTGATGATGTTCCTGTATTGACCAGTACTAATATACTCCGTGATGTGAGC